CCCGCAACATGGGGGGTGCTTTGGAGAGTAGGGGCTCACACCCCAAGGCACCTTGTCCCCATGTCGATCCGGACAAGTGCCTTTTCCCCACAACCCTGCCCGCTGGATGTGGGGGTGCATGGAATGTCTTTTCGGAATTTGGAAGCCCCCGTTTACAAGGGGGCCCCCAGATCCCAGCCCCCCCCATGTAAATGAGTATGTGGTACATAGTAAAATGTCAAAAGTAAATAAAAACACAACAACAGTTTTTGACGAGTCCTTTATTAAAAGGAAAATAAATAAAAACATGTCTCACATTGTGAATCCAGCATCAATCACAATGAACACTGACCTACACAGAAAATAAAAAACGCTGCCCACCAAACATTCCTGGTCCAGTTGAGAGACACTCACTGAATGACAGGTAAACATGGGGGCAGGGTCACCTGGTGACATCACTGGGTGACCCCGCCTCATGCTTACTTGTCATTCGACAAGTGTTGACGGTACCGTGCAAAATAAAAAAAAAAAAGCCACAGAGACAGTTTTAGACAAGTTCTTTATTCCACCCCCCAAATAAATGTCCACCGAGGTAGATCCAACATCAATCAGGATGAACGCCAGCTGCTGACCTGCATGAAAAAAAAACCTGACCAACACCAAAGCTTGGCTCCCGCTAAATGACAGCTTCGCCGCCTACCCACCGCTAAATCAACTAAGGGGTGGAGCCAGTTGGGGAGGTCACCATGCAACTCCGCCCCCTTATGTCATTATTGCCCGATTTAATAACTTCCAAAGTTACACACCCTACATATAGGCTGTCTGAATTTGGGGGCATGTGCTCCACAAATAATAATAATAATAAAAAATAATTTCTCATACAGTATTTCTCTCTGCTCTTTTAGAACACAAAGAAAGTGAGTTCCTCCTTGCTATCATATGACTTGGAGAACATTTACCTCTCCAACCCCACTGGGAACATCGTTTTTACTGCTGGAGATCAAAACTACATTATCAACTACCAAGGTGAGTACCAACATTCTCATAACAGCCTAGAAAATTGTACCTACACATTAAATTTGAAGTCTAGGTATGATCTTTATTGCACAGGTGCATTGGTCCAGCTTGGACCAATGTAAGTATCCATATCTCATACCTGAGGGACCACCGGGGAAGCTGACAATCATTGCAGTAGTCGTTACTGCTACAGTGATTGTCGCAATCTTCCAGTGGTCATATGCTCGGCACCAGCACCATTCACAAAATACCTTGTATTTTTCAATGGTTACAAGGTGTTCACTGAATTGACAAGGTGGAGAGGTGATGTCATGATTCCCACCTCATCAAATCAGAGAACACCTTGTATTCATTGAAAAAATGCAAGGCATCTGTGAATGGCGACAGTGCTGAACAAGTGTCCCCCTGTGGTCACTATGCAGAGGGGAGTCCGCTCGGCACAGGGCCCAGAAAATTTTGGTGATCATTGTAGTACTACTACAGAAATTGTCACCTTCTACAGCAGTCCCTCAGGTATGAGATATGCATACTTTACAATGGTCCAAGCTGGACCAATGTACCTATGCAATAAAGATCATACCTAGACTTCAACTTGAGTAAATGGTTAAGAGTGAATAGTGTGGTCACCCACCGACTGCTGAGTTAGAAACTCATAGCACATTAGCTGGACAGTCACAGAGCAATAAGTATTCTTGGTTACATTTTTTAAGACAGATCTGGCACTGTGTCACAGTATTCCTCTTGTCATCAATGTGTTGCTGAGCTCCAGCAAAGTTCATATTTACCACAGCATCCCTAGACTCTCAACTTCCATCTCTTTTCCTCTTCACCTCACTATGGTCAGTTAGAAGATTACCTTTCGGGCCCATTCACACCACTCAGATCTGTTGTATTGTGGTAGATGCATTTGAATGATCTGCCTAATACACTACAACAGACCAAAAATTGCACATGGACCTCTAGTACAACCCACTATAATGCAAGGTAGTGCATTGCCATGTGTTGCTGTGCACTCCAACATAGGTGTATTGGGAAGGTGCCATTCAGAATGACAGTAACATGCACGTTACTGTAGCACACTGATTTGAATGGACCCTTAAAGTGTATATCTAAACAAAATTACATTAAAAAACACATATTTAGCACACATTTGTGCTTGTTTCTGCAAATACATAGCAATACCAGCCTATTTGCTAGGAACCCCGTGTGCTTCTAGCCTCATTTTTTGGAGGGCTACACAGTGCCTTTGCTGCACTGAAATCCCAACCAAAGTTGTCAGACCTGTCCAGTTCTACACTGCTGGACTACAGAACTCCACCTACAGTATTCCCATCCATCTCTGTCACTCCACATACATATATCGATTTATTTTCCAGCAAAACAATTCAGTTGTTTTGAAAACAATTCATTGGCAAGAGCCTGCCCACGCACTATGCAGGTAATGGCTCTGGGAGATGTAGTTCTGGGAGTGTTCCAACCAATATGAACTGAGCTCCCAGCAGCTACCCCTGTAGGAAATGTATAAACCTTGTGATGATGTCACAGGGACTAAAAAAGATGTCTCACACTACAGGAACCAAAAAAAAAGAATGATCTAGGGTGGGTGGCAGTGGTGAAGCTAGACTTTCTTTCACCCCAGGCAAAGACTCAGTTCACTCCCCCAAAGAGGATGGTGTCAGTAGAGCAGTGGACAGTGTCAGTAGTTATATTACATCAGTATTGCATCAGTGTCCCCCTTATATCAATGTCCCCCTTACATCAGTGTCCCCCTTATATCAATGCCCCCCTTACATCAGTGTCCCCCTTATATCAATGCCCCCTTACATCAGTGTCCCCCTTATATCAATGTCCCCCTTACATCAGTGTCCCCCTTATATCAATGTCCCCCTTACATCAGTGTGCCCCTTATATCAATGTCCCCCTTACATCAGTGTCCCCCTTATATCAATGTCCCCTTTACATCAGTGTCCCCCTTATATCAATGCCCCCCTTACATCAGTGTCCCCCTTACATCAATGCCCCCCTTACATCAGTGTCCCCCTTATATCAATGTCCCCCTTACATCAGTGTGCCCCTTATATCAATGTCCCCCTTACATCAGTGTGCCCCTTATATCAATGTCCCCCTTACATCAGTGTCCCCCTTATATCAATGCCCCCTTACATCAGTGTCCCCCTTATATCAATGCCCCCCTTACATACCCCCCTTACATCAGTGTCCCCCTTATATCAATGCCCCCCTTACATCAGTGTCCCCCTTGGTTCAAGGTCCCCCATTACTTTAGAATCTCCCTTATTAGTGTCATCAATAAGTGTCCCCTCCCCTTTACTTTAGAGTCCCCCTAAGATCAAAGTCTCTCCTATCATCAAAATCCCCTTGTTTATCAGTGCCCCCTTAAATATATACCCCACCTTACATTAGTATCCCCCCTTACATCAGTGCCTTCATTACACCAGAGTCCCCCTTTACATCAGTGCCCCCTTTACATCAGAGTCCTTCCTTACATCAGAGGCTTATCCTTTCATCAGTTTCCCCATTTATATCAATGTCCCCTCAGTGACCTCCCTTACTTCAGAGCCCCTTTCTACATCAGAGTGATTTCTTTCATCAGTGTGCTCCCTTATATCAGAGTCCCCCTTACTTCAAAGCCCCCGCTTACATCAGTTTCCCCTTTGCATCAGAGTCCCCCCTTACAATAGTGTCTTCTTTGCATCAGAGTCTCCCCTTACATCAGTGCCACCTCTTATTTCAGAGCCCCCCGAAATCAGTCCTCCCATTTATATCAATGTCCCCTTATATATCAATTCCACATCTTACATCAGTGTTCCCCCTTACATCAATGTCCCCATACTTAAGTGTCCCCCTTTTAATAGTGCCTTCCTTGCATCAGAGTTTCCCCCTTACATAAAAGTCCCCCTTACTTCAATGTGCCCCACTTACATAAGAGTCTCCCTTTTACATCAATGTTCCTCTCTTACATAGGAGTTCCCCCCTTACATCAATGTACCCCCCTTACATAGGAGGCCCCCCTTAAATCAATGTGCCCCCTTTCTCCTTGCTCATGCACACACAGAAGACAGCACAGCACACACCAAAGCGGCATCCTCCATCGCTCACACCTTTTCAGCAGTTCCTCAAGGCTGCGACAAGTGTGGATCCTGGGGGGTGGCTGGGAGATGAAGTCCCGGACTGCCACTCAATGGAAGAACAGTACAGGCAGCACTGGCACAGCAGCAGCACAGCACTGGCAGGAAGAAGAATGGGGAGAGAGAACACAGCCCGCACTGCCTCCCGCCACTGGGCTGACAGGAATAGTGATGTTGCTGTCGCTACTTATGTCAGCGGTGGTGCCCCTCTCAATGTGCCCTCCCATAGTTTTGGCCCTGTGGGGAGGGGACATTTGAGGGGTATATTTTGATGATGCATGGACATAGACTTTAAGTGCTTTCTCTTAAATCTGTATATTTTTTTCACCTTCAGAAATGAGGCAGAAGAACATTTTTTATGGAACAGAGAAAGAGATCCGCCGAAGACCCAAATTCCAGGATTTTGAGAAAGTGAAGATGTTAAAAGGAAGGTAATAAGAACAGAAATACCATACTGGTCATCCGTGTGTCTACTGAGATGATCAAACGGTAACTGTTTAGATGGCAGGTGACTCCCATCTGTTTATTGTTTTTATTTTGCAGCACCAAATCTGCTGCAGGCACTTCAAACCAAAAGCCTTCAAATTCCCCTCTCAAGATGATAAACTACCCAGCGCACTGGGACATGAATGCTGTGCCAGAGATTGGGTATAAGGTATGATAGGAAAAATACTTCATTTATTTAAAAATGAAATCTGCCAAGACCAATTTTCATGTTAAAGTAATCATATTCTCACTAATTTTCAGGTAGAGTTTAATGTTTATGATAGGTATGCTTCTATGACTTCTGTGAAAAAATATGGTTGTATTAATCTAAAAACATCTTAATGCTTGATTTGCAGAAAGTTCTTGTAGCAGAGAGTTTGGCAGAGTTCTTAAACACCGTCAAAATGTTTAAGAAGACAGTCTCCGGTTATACGGTGAAGAAACTGTGGCGAATTCAGAACCCCTCCCTCTGGCAGGTCTATCAATGGTATGTTGGCAGTTATTACAAAGTAACAGAGCTTGGGGAGCTTTAATACCAATTAATTCAGAAAAGGAGTGTCTCACTTTTTTAGATCCAAGTGGCATTTCTATTCTCAGGTTTCCCAGTATAAGTGCACTGAAATACGATTTCCAGATGTGCACAAGTCAAGTGGCAGTATTTGTTGGATGTCCAGAAACCACAAAGGAGAGTTCACAGATCCGTAAAAGTAGTTTTGCCTACACATAACACAAAAGAACACACGGACAACACTTTATTCTCAGCTTTAATCATATAAGCATAAGCCCAAACCTCTCCTGGGAATTTAGCACCAACAGCCTGAGCAATCTGATTCCTGCTCCCAACAGATACCTAGAGAGTTTACCACCCTAGTGGAAGACAGAACAACTTTGTGTTAACCATGGACACGGCTTGTAGGCTGGGTAGGGCAAATGGGTGATACTTCCGCCATGCCTCCTTTCCTCAGTGGGCATCAAGTCTGGGTCACATAAGAGGCCTACCCCCAAAGTGGGTTCTTCTGTGCTATGTGAGGCACCTTAAACAGGGTCAATGCTGTACACATGGGGTACCTTTACTTGAATGGATAACTGAACTCTAATAAATTCTCTTGATGCCAGTATACATCATCACGGTCACTGTTGCATTTAGGAGGGACACACAGAGCCAATGCCCTCTCTGCCTGTACAACGTATTTCCGCTACCTCGCTCCCAGTAACAGAATGGGGTCCCACTATTCACCTAGCATGAACTCCGTGAGTGTACTCGCTTAACTCTTCATCCGTACCTGTGTACAGGTTGAGGACCTCTGCGGTACAGATCTGCTTCCATTGTTATGGGAGATGGACCTTCTCATGGAGAGTGTGCCGGGAACAACTGCTGCAAAAGGCTATCTTGCCTGCTACATGTACATGTTTCACAACAGACTGATAAACTTGCATTACACTCCATTAGTAACTTCAGACCAGGCAGTGGACAAAGTTTCAAAACATTTTACTAAAAAACTCAAACATCACAAAATCTAAGGTGCAACACAGTCCTTCCCTAACATCCCTAGTCCTTATCTCAGGCTGCTGAGCTGCCCTGGCATACCTGCAGAAGTAGAGTCTATACTTGGAAATCCCATGATTGGCAGAATCCAGGAGCTTGTATCTTTTGCATTGACTACAGGTTCCAGCACTCCCTTTACATGATAGAAGGATCCTGGCAGTAGAGGATCCCGGATTCTGGTCGACAGCAGTAAGCCCCAGAGCTGACGATAGCTTAAGCACCAGGAACCCGGACCACTGTCCCTTTTTATAAGCACAGGACCAGTGGGTTGGACCCAAGGAAGCCAGATACAGAAAACCTGGGGACACCATTAACCCTAACCCTCTTGTCTGGGGCAGCACCCATTTGGGCTAACAACAGCAACCTGCTTACATGCTTACTGTAGCAAACACTCAACCTCACATTGCCCATCTGCTGTTGTCCTGCTATCAATTGGCTCAGCCCAGCTGCAATGAATGACCTCTCACTCTCATACGATAGGGGTCCCAAACCTAGGCTTCTTCTTACAGTGGGGTGAATTCACTAACAGTTATGTGATATTTGTGTTTTTTGGAAATATCACATGTGATAATATAATCAATTCACCAAAGTAAAAGTATTGAATTTGCAGTAAATAATGAACATTTTGTAGATATTTGAGGTACAGTGGGGAAAATAATTATTTGATCCCCTGCAGATTTTTTAAGTTTGCCCACTTACAAAGAAATTAAGGGTCTATATGTGTATTTTATATAATAGAGACAAAATATCAACCAAAAATCCAGAAAAAAAACTCATGATAAAAGTGTTATGCATTGCATGACCGTGCAATTATCAGTTGAATTAGTGCAGCGCCGAGTAGCAAAAAGAGGCCTGGTCATTAAGGGGGGTAAATCCTCAGGAGGGCAAGTGGTTAAATAAAGAGATTGAGAAGTGCAGTGAATTCTGGTCCTCTTCTTAATATGTGAGCTCCAAAGACCTCTCCTTGAACTGTATTGTTGCTGTATTGTCTCCCGTTATACTGTAAAGCGCTAAGCAAACTGTTAGCACTATATAAATCCTGTATAATAATAATAATAATGTGTCGGCAGATGGGATGTGAAAGCACACTCATGATTAACTGCTTTAGCGCCGCCCCATAGCAGATATACTGCTACAGTGCGGCACCTGTGCGCAAAATCATGTATATATACGTCATTTTGCATTTACAGGTAGGGGGCGTGCCCAAGCCGCACCCGTGCCCTACCCGTGCCCCCATTTACGGCCGCAGATGTCAATCACCGGGTCCCGGCCGGTAATTACTCGGTGATTACCGAGCATCTCTGACGGGGAGGAAAATTGTTTTGTTTACAAACAGTCTTCCTCTCTGTCAGCTCGTTCACACTGCTCGGGATGGCTGTGCACAGTACAGCTAACCCTATCAGTGTGCTTACAGTGAAGAACAACCCCCCCAGTAAAACACTCCCAGCACACAGTTAACCCTTTGATCGCTCCTCACATTAACCCCTTCCAGCCTTGTGCCATTAGTACAATGTCAGTGCTTTTGTTTAGTACTGATCACTGTATTGGTGTTACTGGCGTGTCAGTGACCCCAAGTTAGTTCCCCTCCAGTGTCAGAATGTCTGCTGCAGTCGCTGATCACCGTATTACTAGTAGAAAAAAAAATCCCATTATCTATACCGCCATTTGTAAACGCTATAACTTTCATGTAAACCAATTAATTTACACGTATTGGGATTTTTTTTTAGCAAAGACATGTAGTAGAATACATTTTGGTCTACATTTATGATGAAATTTAGTTTTTTTTTATATTTTTAGTGGACATGTTTAATAGCAAAAAAATCAAAAATATTGTTTTTTTCTCAAAATTGTTGGTTTTTTTTTGCTTATAGCACAACAAATTAAAAAATACATAGGCAATCAAATAACACCAAAGAAAGCTCAATTCGTGGGGAAAAAAAGGACGTAAATTTCATTTGGGTGCAGTGTTGCATGACCACGCAATTTTAAATTAAAGTAACACAGCGCCGTAACGCAAAAAAATGGCCTGGTCATGAAGGGGGGTAAATCCTCAGGCGGGCAAATGATTAACCTGCATTAGAAGATACTTGATAGCGCACCTGGAGCAGCACAGTGACAGGGCTGTTTTGTTTAATCATGGGATGTAATTGATCATTAGAGCTCAGGAAGTTTCAGATCCCATTGAAAAAGATTAAACCCTGGTTCACAATGAATACGATATTGAAATTGTGCTACTTCACTTGAAGTAGCACAATCGGGGCAGCACAGTGGCTAAATGGTTAGCACTTCTGCCTGGCAGCATGTGGGCCATTGGTTCAAATCCCAAACACAGCACCACCTGCCTGGAGTTTGCATGCTCTCCCTGTGCCTGCATGGGTTTCTGGTTTCCTCCCACACCCCAAAGACATGATGGTAGGTAAATTGTCCCTAGTATGTGTATGTATGAATGTGAGTTAGGGACCTTAGATTGTACACCCCTTGAGGGTTAGGGACTGATATGAATGTACAATATATATGTAAAGCACTGCGTAAATTGACAGCGCTATATAAGTACCTGTAATAAATAAATTTCAAAGCCACAGACCAGTGCAATTTCAGGTGTAACTTGTCTGACATCTGAGCAACTTCATGCACAGATGTCAATGCAAGTTGCATGTGGAAATAGTGCAGGAGATATTTTCAAAAAACAGAGTTGGTGTCGCACCGATTTGAAAGGTTCCATTGCCGACAATAGGGTGCAACTTGTCACAAGATTTGACACTTCAAATCTTGTGACAAGTTGCACCTCCATGAACCAGGGCTAAAGGTTTGTATGTTCTTTCTGTGTTTCAGCTAAGGTCACCTTGTAAACAGTACCGAGGAGGAGGGTCTTTTTGTTTTTTCAAACAATGCTACCTGCTTAGATGGAAATAACAAGTTTACCTTCAGATGTAAATAGTGCCCCCTTGCTAATTGCAATGACCTTAACGTAATGTGGTAGGACATGATCAAGCCATGGAAGGTTTAGTAGAGGTTGACTTTGGAGCAATAAAACTGTAACTGGCTTGTTTAATGTGCTGAAATTCCAGAGAACATGCAAAGTCAAGAAATAAAAGGGAGAAGATTATTCCTGAAAAGGAACTGCTTCACAATGACTGATAGTTCTCAGGACCCATGAAAAGCCATGGCAAGACAGTTCCTAGGAGCCATGAAAATCCTGCATTACCTGTCACATGAAGCCCAGTATTATAACGTTGGATACAGTTCAACGTTGGTTGAACTGGATGGACTTTTGTCTTTTTTCAGCCAGACTAACTATGTAAAAATCTGGAACACCACTGATGGTGCTTGGTTGAAATTTGATGAAACCATAAAAACAGGGAGAAGCAGACTACATGGAGTAGAATAGAAATGTCGTATGTGGCTCAGAAAGATTGTAACAAAACATCCCAAGCAAGCTCAGCAATACACTGACACAGAAGCTCTACATCCAGAAGACCCAATACCTAAACACAAACAAAGTAACTTGATATATGTAGAGCAATATAGTGAGGAATACAAAGACATGTACACTGGAGAGACAAAACAACCTCAACATAAAAGGTTGAACTCAGTTCAGGTCAGCAATTTTCCTACGCCTTCAGGAAAAAGACACTCTTTCTAGTACAGTGAGGTACACAGTTAGGTCAAAGAGGACAACAACTGCTAAACAAGAAGCATAAACAAGGCCCTCCACGTCAAACTGAAACAACCATCCCTAAACAGAGGTGGGGGCCTTTGAAACCATATATACTGTAACCAGGGGCGGACTGACCATTTAGGCACTCGGGGCGGTGCCCGAGGGCCCCCAGGGTCAGTAGGGGGCCCCATGAGATGCCCCTAGTACCTTTCATAAGCTTTTTTGGGTGTGGTTTGAGTGTGGGTAAGGACACAGGGGCCCATGATCTCCTATTGCCCAGGGGCCCCATGAGTTGTCAGTCCGCCCCTGACTGTAACCCAAATATAATACCATTTTAATGTTTCTATTTCAGGATTTGATAATAAGTCATACCTCCAGCCATGTATATCAAAGGATTACCCCATCTCAGAATTCCTGGCACCAAGGGTTGGGACTATGTAACTAAAAGAAAATGGTCCCCACACAATTTCACACCTCCCATCCTATTCCTGGACAATCATCATCTGCCCTGACACATTTCCTGATGATTAGATTACTGTGATTAAGTGTAGATATTAATACTGGGTTATGATCCTAACGCTCATTAGAAATGGGAAATGTCTTCAACCTTACAGAACAAGTCAAATTAAATGTGACTAAATACTGCAAGATATACCATAACCTAGATACATGGAAACCTTCACTCTACTTTATTATTTACAAACAAACAAACATGAGTATCACAAGTGCCGGAAACTGGGGCATGTGCCCCTCATCTCTTACTAAGAACCCCTGGTTGTAGGCACAGGATTTTTTTTTTAACCATGCTCCATTAACCCTTTCGGGTCCGTACTTTGTATGGGTTTTATACACAAATCAATTGGCTGCAGCCACCAGAACTGTGTATAATACTGACAGCCAGACTCCTGCCTGTCAGGTGGAAGCAATCTCAGGCAGAAGCACTGCCACAGCCCCTGGTGCTAGTGCCAGTGTGCGCTCCTGCCATGTATCCGGGCCCCGCTTGTCCTTTTGTGGGCCCGGGGAGAGCCATGGTGGGTGCCAGCGGGTGGAGGGGAGAGAGGAGAGAAGATAAACATCCGCTCTGCTTGCCTTCTTTCTGTGTATAATGTCACTTCCAGGTCATGGCTGTCACTTTCTGCATTGCAGTACACCTAGTGGAGACCAGAGGAGACATGCAGGATCTTTTATGGCTTGTTCACACTTGACTTTATTTCGAACTCTTGCCAAACGCCCCTATAAGGTTTGACAGGCATTAGACAGGTGTTTGGGAAGTGTGTTTTTAACGTTCCTCAAATGCTCCCCAAATGCTCCCAAAACGCCCTATGCGCTGTTTTGAAGAGGTTGATAGGTGTTTTGCCAAGCGTTAAAACCACACCACAAACTATATATATGTCCTATAATGAAGTTAAATGGTATTAACGCCTCGCCACCATGTCGCAACCGCACCGCAAATGCCTGCTAGGCGTTTGTGGAGCGGCACCATAGACTTGAATGGGAGGCTTCAACTCCTCCTGACTCGACACGAGGCATCAGTTTTGCTGCGACGCAACGCGACGCTAATGCTTCCATGTGAACAGGACTGTGTGCTGCCATGTGCAGAATTTTCATAGGCGTTTGAGAAGTGTTAAAAATGCTTCCCAAACGCCTGTCTGACGCCTGCTGACAAAGCTAGTGTGAACGTAGCCTAAGACCCTGTATGTCTTAATAAAGAGAACCTGTCAACTAAAAATCATCACATAGGGGACTTGTGTGATTTAGTAAAAACATTTTATTTTTAATTGCTAAAAAGGCCCCCACCCCCACATATACGCACATACAAATGTAGACGCACATGGCAGGGCGCATACGTGTGAAAACAATAGTTATACATTGTTGATACATGTTACATATCACCACACATGCTTGAGTAAGAGCAATAATACTAGCACCAGACCTCCTCTGTAACATTATACTGATGACCTATAGGGGCTTTTGAAGCGTTGCCTATAGAAAATATAGGGTACTGAAACTTGTCGCCATCTCATAAGCGCGCACAAATTTAAGGTTTGGCATGTTGGGTATATAGTTACTTAGTGCAATCTCATCTTTTATATTTTACCAATAATGTAAATAAGAGGGGAGTGACGTCAAGAAGCACGCACGCCAACCAGAAGTGTCGCCGTGGCCATTTTGTTGGTTGTATACATGTGGTTTCAACCAAAAGTTTGATCAGTCAGTACAGAGCCATTGAGGGAGCAATGCTGGAAGCTGGATTTTCCTTTTTTTAATGTGAGTTTTGATTAAATCTGTTTCTATGATGTGAACTCTGCCTAAGAGCCTTTGTTTCTTTATGAGGATTTTGAAAGAGTACCCCCTGAAATGAAGGATTGAAAGATATGGATTCCTTATGATAGCCCATGCTTGAGAATAACTTCAAGAGGGTAATAGTACCTGGTATCACTTTTGGCTGGATTATAGAGGGCACTAGTACCTACTATCACTATTCACAAGTGGTTGGAGTGGTCATGAGTTTTTTTTCACGTTTTGGGTTTTATTTATTTATTTATTGATTTATGCAGTGAAAGAATAAGTATATATTTATATATTACTTGCACTTTTTTTTTTCTCTTTCACTATTTTAAGAGTGGTTTTGTGTTTTTGCACAGAGTGAAGTACGTATATTTAAAAAGATAATACACTATGAATTTTCTTTTTTTCTTTTTTTTGAGGTTTTCATGGAATATTTAGGATCAATTTCCTTTTAACTGGATTGAAGTGAAAATTTGGAACTTGGATTTTGGACACTTGGATTCTGTTTATTTTATTTTATTTAATTTTATTTTATGTGATTTTGGACACAATTGGGAGTGAATTTAAATTGGACACATTTTTTAAGTTGAATAATATTTATTTTGATTGTATAAATTGATTACATTTGTAGAATTTAATTTTGGTTTTATGTGGGATTTTATGTTTTTACCACAAAAAGGATATTTTGGGAATTTATTGTTTTTGCTTGCCCCAAAGTCATTGGGAGTGATTTTTTGAAATGTGTGGTTTTCTGGAACTTTTTGGCAATAAAGTTGAAATAACTATTTTATTTTCTAGGGTGTCTGCTTTGAAAATATATACTGTTTGGGGGGGTTGTGTAATCTTCAAGCCTGAAATTATTTTTTAAACATGTGTATGCAAAAATGGCTTGGCAGCGAAAAGGTTAAGTCCATTTGTTAGCACAATTTTGGCCAAACCCACCTTTTTTGGGTTCTTATCCTCTGTTTCCCCAGGGATTTATATTGAATGTTTTCACCACAACAAAAATTAAATATTTGCTATAAGATACCCTTGGCCCTTTCCATGAGTCTTTTATCTGTGACGTTTGTTTGCTTGCCAAAAGTCACACTTTACGTGAGTGCTTTTTAGGAGCCATCTGGGTTTTTACTGAAATGTATTTGTGTAGTACAAAGGAACTGGAACTTTCTGTGGCATAAAATATTGAAACTACCACTGTAAAGGGGTTTAGGGACTATTATTTTCTAGGGTTTTCACCCAAATGCTTAAAAGAAAATATAATACTGTTTGGTTCTTATGTGGTTTCTGTGCCACAATTAATCTTCAAGCCAGAAATTATTTTTCAGGTTAAACGTGGATGCAAACCAGCAGCAATCAAGCATAATATGCACCAATTAAATGGCATGGTGAAGGCTGGTCCAGCGATTTCTCTTCACAGGAAGGGCAATGGCTATAAGAAGATTGCAAAGATGTTAAACATACCAAGAGACACCTTAGGAAGCATCATTCGCAAATTCAGCAGGCAAAGGGCCTGTTGAAACTCTACCGTGGCAGAAAGAAGACCTTTTGGCTACAGCATGGTCCCCATGCACTTGTCTCGTTTTGCCCCATCCTCTGCGTAATTTGCCCCCAGCGTATTTTAGAAATCTTAGCAACACCCCTGTAAAGATACATTAGAAATGTTTCACACAGGAAAAAAGGCCTATGATGAAAAGAAACTCAAGGCACGGGAATTCATGCTTTGGGCTGTTTTGCTTCTATACAGGGAAGTTCAGCGTGTGCAAGGTACCATGAATTCCCTTTTCATGAGATATTGGATGGAAACTTTGGTGGGGTCTGGTGACAATGGACGTTTGTAGAGTTAAGGCAGTGGCCAGGTGTACCTCCGATTTTTTAAAGGCCACAAAATGTCACTACTGGAGGCCTTTCCAGTATACCCGTAGATCGTGACACTTGTGCCTTTAAAAGCTATAACTTAGGAGCCTAAGTCTAAGATTGAATGTCACTTGGGGGTAAAACTGATAATGCCATCCAGAAAAGACATTTGTGTTATTTCATTATAACTGTTATGTTACTGACCTACAAGTGCCTCATTAATGTAAATGTAACAAAGGATCAAAACTTGTACTGGGCTCAATTTCAGTGGGGGTTGTGGACTGTATATGGGCTTGCTGTTCCTAGTCTCAAAGGATCTTCTGTCAGGATGGACCTATGCACTGGGGTCACAGCAGACTCTGTTGCTAGCAAAGCCAGCAGCAGATATAAAGAGGGCCTTATGGTTCTAGTGACACTAGACTGTTCGTATCCCTTTTACAGGAGAAATGCTGGGAATCATGGGAAGCTCTGAGCTTGGCAACCTCAGCTACAATGGATTAAAGAGCAAATAAGCTCTCCCCCCCCACTACAAAACAACATAACAGGCCCTTTGCTTTCACCTTTACTGGGTGAGTCCTCAATACTGCGAGTTGTATGGTCATGGTTTCATTCTCTGTATCATTCCCTTTGATGAATGACATTGCCAATGCTCTACCACTGCTCTCTTACAAAGACACTGTCACTTGATTTGGTAGTTTAGTTGATCACGTTCCCATAGATATGTTTCTATCATGTAACCAATAACTGCACATGGAAAAGGTTAATTTATTTTTTTATGAACATGAAAATAATTTCCTTCTCTTTCAGACAACACTGACTTGTTGATCTTTCTTCATGTGTCTCAGGCAGAAGGATCAGATGAAGAAGAAGAATTCGGGTATCGACAAGGCTGAGCGTCAGCTGTTTCATGGCACGGACAGTTCTAAAACGGACGCCATCTGCCGGGATAACTTTGACTGGCGTGTCTGTGGCACTAATGGTGTTGTATATGGGCAAGGTCAGTCTTAAAGCCTAAGTCCTGGTTTGCAGCTTCTCAGTACATCATGCACCCCAAACATTGGCTCAGCAGTTTAGAATAAAGAGAAAAGAAGTGCCTCTAAGTGCAGTATAAACAACTTTAATAAGTAACCAATCTAGAACAACTCAAATTATGCATGCTGGTCCACATACGTCATCACGCTGATGCCGACGTTGCACATCAAGGTGTGTTCCAGATGCCATCTTTAGAAGACAGCACATCCCGGCCAGCTTCTCTGTACATCTACGGTCTTCATAGTGCGGACGAGGCTGACACAGCTTGGACACAGCCGTCCTCCCACCCAGTTGAGCTTGCTTTCAAAATACATAATGTGAGTTGTTCTACATTGGTTACTTATTAAAGTTGTTTATACTGCACTTAGAGGAGCTTCTTTTCTCTTTTATTCTACACAGAGCTTGCTACTACTACATGAGGCTTGCCCTAGTGCTATATGGACCTTTTAGCCCTACATTGGACTTTTTGGACTTTTATCCTTTATAATTTGTAGGAGCTGGGTGTTTGCACCTTGCACTGATTGTCCTCTGTATTGGCTCAGCAGTCTCCTATCCTTCTAACGTAATCCCAGAATAGAAATGCAAGAAGGGAATGCAAGGGGAGCGAATTGGAGAGTTGCTAGAAAAAGGGGGTAACGGGTAGCTGATAAGTCACTACAGGGAGGAGGAGCAGAGTGTGCTGAGCTGCTTGAGCCACCTTTTGGGAGGGGGAGAAGCATAAGCTGAGCTGCTGAGTCCTGTTGGGATGGGGTGGGTGGTAGGGGTAGCTGAGCTGCCAAATGACTGCTGAAAATGGAAAGCAGAAGTCCAGTTGCTGAGTCACTAATGAGAAGGCGAGGTGCTCAGGTTGAGCTGCTCAGTTACTGCTGTGAGGGGGGAGTTGAGATGCCAAGAAAAGGATTTGGATGACTGCAGTGCTTACACTGTGAATTTTGGAGATTTGCTCCCCATTACACGCAGCTACAGAGGTCAGGGAAGCCTTGATTTAAAGCTCATTTAGGCTCCATGCACACTAGCTTTTTTTAAGCTCCTGGAAACTGTTATGAACATTTTTTTTCTGCTCCTAGAAGCTGAATAGAGTTATCCTATGTGTCCATGCACACTACTTTAGGCTATTAGTGTTTTTGGAGCTTCAACGTCTAGGAGCAGAAAAAAAAATCGTTTTTGTAGGGTTTTTTTTAGTGTTTTTTCCACCAGCTAACGGCTGCTAAATTCTACTAAAACGTTCCTAACAGCATTTTCTACATGTACTGTAAAAACGCTACTAAAATGCTAACAATCTTAAACGCTACTAAAAAGGCTATTACCAGTGTTTTTTTATCCAGCTTTTTTTCAGCTTACAAAAACACTAGTGTGCATGGAGCCCTATTGCTTGTTAAGAACATGTAAATAAATGACAGTTCAAAGCCTGTGGAAGAATTCAAAGATCACACCCTGTACATGAGCACTCCTCCTACAGAGTATGTGATAGGGGGAAAGAGCTGATCTATTAAAACAAATCTTTGTTCCAGCCATGCAGCAGTAGCTACCAGTGGATACATTTATATTTTAATTCGCAAACTTTCTCCCAACAGGAAGTTATTTTGCCAGGGACGCATCCTACTCCCACAACTACTCCCAGCCCAATTCTCAGGGGACACGGACCATGTTTCTGGCTCGTGTGCTGGTCGGTGACTTTGTCGTAGGGGATTCCAAGATGAGACGCCCACCTCAGAAATACAACAGCACCGAGAGTTATGACTCCTGCGTGGACAACGTGCTCAGTCCGTCCATCTTCGTGGTGTTCGAGAAATTCCAGGTCTACCCAGAGTACATCCTGGAGTATGAGGAAGAAAAGAAATCTTATTGCAACATTAGCTGAGCCAGAGAAAAATCAATAAATGTTACTGTATAATACGCCAGCAAAACACCTAATATAAAGCTGTACTTCAGGCCGACATATCTAGCAAACATTAATGCAGCTCTGTAAGCATTAATACATCATTAAATGTATTTTGTAAATGCCAGCAATGTAAATACCTAAACATGACTTGGTATCTGCCTCTTAGGCTACATGCGTAAATTTTTTTCAAGTGCGTTTTCTTGTGCAGATTTGCACTTTTTTACAGATTTTATCAGGTGTTTTTTGAGGCATTTTTCAATTAAGAGGTATGGAATGCTGCTGAAAAAGGGGCAAAGAGCTGCTGTTTTATCACAAAATACTTGAAAAAATGCTCAAAATAAGCGCATGCCGTTCTTTTTAGGCATTTCCATTGAACTCTGTGGGAGACAAAAACTCTCAATTCTGCCTGAAAAGCAGATCATGTTGTTTTTGGAGCGACAGGCATTTTGCTGCTATAAGCGACAGGTTGCTCAGATGTGAACAAGGGCTGCTGAAAACAATAGGATTTTGCTTGTTGAGCATTTTTGAGCTTCAAGCTACAAGTTACAAAATGCTCAAGTGTGAACAGGTTTACAGTCCCTGTACAGCAGAGACCCGGAGAGTAAGAAGCAGTACAAGGAGCCAAGCAGCTGTGCTTTAGTGCAAGAAGCTTACCTAAAGGCTGCAGAGATGATCTTATCAGTGTGCTGATTATTTACTGTCTAATCATGGCCAGGGGAGGGACAAGACCTGTAAGTGTTACCTAAAGTGATTGTAAACCCTCACCTTATAAAATAACCCATTCAGTTTAAAATAGAATTAAAAGGTTAAACATTTGTGTATAGATATAAGAAAATTAGAAATACCTTTCTCCCCACCTTTTAAAAAAGTGATCACATTCCCTCTGTTCTCTGCTGCATAAGGAGCTCAGATAGTTGGAAAAGGAGAAACAGCAGTACACTGATCTTCCCATTGGATGGCTGTGCAGTGAAAGGGAGGGGGGGGGTCTCATACCTAGTGTATAGCTCCCAACTGTCCCTGATTTCGGGGGACTGTCATTCCTTCTCATTTGTCCCTCAATTTGGTCTGATCTCTATAGTTGTAAACAAAATGAACTGTTTATCTTTCAAAATGTTTTTTCCAGTGCTAAACCTTTCATCCAATTTCTAAATTGCTGCATTTGTAAATTTCAAAAACCAGTAAAAAGGAATAGTAGTGGTAAAAAAAGCACGTGTGGGTTTATCTAATAATTTTTTAATATAATTCTCGCCCGCCATATAAGGAAATGATGGATGGGTGGTAGTTCTCTTGTTCTGCGACATCCTCCCACTCTAGCTGCGCATGCGCGCCCCAGCGATCGCTGGTACGCTATGTCCCTGGGACATAGTGGATCACCGATCGCAGTAAAGAGCCGATGGCGTAGGCTCTATCATGTGATCAGCTGTGTCCAATCACAGCTGATCGCATGTAAATAGGAAACAATGGTTATCAGCAGTTCTCTCTCCTCACGCTGACAGTGTGACATCCCCTCCCCCCCCCATCCTTATTTTTCCCCTTTTTCCCTATAATTTGTTCCCCCCTCCTCTTTCTTCCCCCCCTTCTTTATTTTATTATTGATTTTTCTCCCTATACAATTCAATTTTATTTATTCATTATAATTTTTCATTATTAGTACTATTCACCTTGTTGTTCACACTTATTGTCATTTATGATTTTGTTTCATTTATGATTTTTGTTTTTTTCCTGTATTTCTCTTTTTCTTATTCCCATCCTCTTTCCCTCCCACATTGGTTATTTTAGCTCTTATTTTTATGCATTGCCCCATTGCAGTCTCCTTTCTTTGATCCAGTTTAACTTGAATTTTAATACTATCCCTCTATGGTGTTTTCCTTCCTTCCTTTATTCTGGTCCTTAGACTCCTCCTACTTCTCTCCCCCCTATTGGTTCCTGCTGATTTGACAGCCTTTATATTCCCAGTTGTTCCAGGGTCGGGCCTGCTTGATAAAGGAGGTGGAGCCTCGGAAGCACGTTGTGGTCTGCCCACTTGTCATCCACGGCACCTGTCATACACCCCAGTAACTTGGCGGGAGTGCCAGAGGGACGCGGTGTACCTCCAACTCTAGCGGGTCTCTCTCCACTCCCTGCAGCGATTGCTGGCTCCACAGATTTGGAGAGAGAGCTGTCCTTGCTCACTGCATCTAATCAGGATGTTGTTTGTGGAGTTACATAGTTACCAGGGGTAGACTGACCATTTGGAAACTCAGGCACTGCCCGAGGGCCTGGGGTCAGTAGGGGGCCCCATGAGATGCCCCTGGTACCTTTTTCATAGGCTTTTTTGAGTTTGGGCAAGGACACAGGGGCCCCATGATCCCCTATTGCCCGGGGGCCCCATGAGTTGTCAGTCTGCCCCTGATAGTTACATAGTTAGTCTGGCTGGAGTATTTAAATGGAAGTGCCTTTTGAATAAAGTTCAACTGTTTTTATTTAGGCTGACCTGGCACCCTGCTGTGTTTTTTCCTTTTGTATGTCTCCTGAGGGATTCCCTGATCCTTGACAAGGAGCTGCCGGTAATTGCGTGTGTATAGTCTACATTGCCCACACCTTTCCTAGTTTAACCAGAATGTGGAGGAACTGACCGTTTGACACACATTATCCTTTGCATAATTGCAAGTTTTTGCTACATTGTATTCAGTGACGACTGATACCAATTATTATGTATATGAACCTGTCTACTAATCCATCATCCTTATTACATTCTACCATCATCTGAGCGCTGGATATGCTTGTAATTTTTACAAGGTGTTGTGTATGTAAATACACCTCTACACATACACGATATTGCCAAAAGTATTAGGCCAGCCCTCCAAATCATTGGATTCAGGTGTTCCAATCACCTCCAAAGCCACAGGTGTATAACATCAAGCACCTAGGCATGCAGACTGCTTCTACAAATATTTGTGAAAGAATGGGTCGCTCTCAGGAGCTCAATGAATTGAAGTGTGGTACCGTGATAGGTTGCCACCTGCGCAATAAGTCCATCTGTGACATTTCCTGGCTACTAAATATTCCACGGTCAACTGTTTTGTGTGTGGTATTATAACAAAGTGGAGGCAACTGGGAACAACAGCAACTCAGCCACGAAGTGGTGAAGTGGTAGGCCATGTAAAATGACAGAGTGGGGTTATCCCATGCCAGTAGTGGAGTGGGCCCCGCCGTGCACCCTGCATTGGCTCCACACATGCACTTGACTTTAACTCTTGAACGTCTGGACCTCTATACATAATGAGAGCCTCTGCAATGCAGTTTGGCTCCGGTTACTTAGGGGAACAAAACACGGCATAGGGAATGCTGACAATGTCTTCCTTGTGGCAAGAGGCCATTCTACCTATAACCTATGCTCATGGCAACCACATGTAGAACTTGCTCTAGGATGGCTCCTAACGTGTAGACTCTTCATACCCCAATATGATAGTGACTCAAACCTTAGACCATAGGTGCCGGTTACTTGCACTTCACTCTTTTAAAGAACTTCAAATGAGGCAGAAGGCAAAGTTTTAACAGTTTACTGTATAAAGTGCAAAATGGTACAAAGTCCAGCAAAAAAACAGTCCTTTTCCTAAATCCTTAATCCCTATCCTACTCAGACTATGTGCTGCCCCGACATACCTGCAAAGCTAGAGTCCATGCGAATAAAGATCCATTAGTGGCATTCCCCAGTGGCTGGTGTCTTGGGGTTGAACCCCAAGTTAGAAGATGGCTCTCACATCTTTTGGGCTGCTAAGTGGCTGTACTACTGAAGGATCTGCAGCAAGGCTCTCTCTGACTCCTACAGGAGCAGTAGGTCAGACCCAAAGACCCCGCCAAACAAAAAACCTGGGAACTAAGTTAACCCCAGCTTTCCCATCCACGGCAGTACCTAACTAGCTAGTTCTAACCTACCTACCTATCCTACAAGTGGGTGGATCTCCCTACGCCCCCTGTCACAATTCAAAAACAGTGCAGCGGTGCAGAGCTCCATCTACACAGATGGATCATTCATTCACAGTTTCCTGTGAATGGATGAACTGCAAGTACTGTCAGCCACCCTGGCAGACAGCTTGTAGTTCTGAATGAACTGCTAGGGTGCTGATGAGCGATCTTGTAGTTCATTCACAAGTGCTATAGCTTTCAAATTGACAGGCCATGTGAAGGCATGGGCAGAAAGCTGCAGGGCTTGTCTACAGAAGCCTCACATTGCTTCCATGATCACAGGTGCAATTCTTTCCAGGCTATGTGCATTTATTATTCTTTCAAAAAAAGTGAACTTAGAATTTAAAAAGTGAATAAAGTATTTTTTTATCATTCACTTCTCCAAATCACGTGACCCAGTCAATTCTCTAGCTTCAAGCTGCAACCAAGCGCTAACAAAATAGTGCAGACTGCAGCAAACCCGGAAATACACTGCTAGCTAAAGCAGTTCATGCAGCTGCTATGGGGTCTGGGGTTGGAGGGGGACCCACTAGGGAAGCTTTTAAACTGTAAAGTTTCCAGTATAGAAGGGCTGATGTCAGGCCACAGGCTCATCAGTAGTCACAGTTCCTCCTCTGTGCAGTAAGAAGTGTTTACTTAGCTGTATTGACAGTGTACATTTATTGCCCTCTAAACTTCTGCTACAGACTACAATTAACCCTATATGTCTAAAGCTGGACCAAACACTGATCGAAATTCAGCCGATTCTTCAGGGAGCAGTTGAATTTCAATGAGTGTGTGGCTAGCCCCACTCGACAGAAGATTTGATTGACTTCCATTGAAGAGACATGCTGGAAAACGAAAAGCTGCAGTTGCTGCTCAGTGTATCCTCACAGCTGCGTGCACATATAAAATGCCCCGGTGGGGCTGTAGCGCCACTCTCGTAAGGGCTGCTTGTATTTTTGCCCAGGTTTCCCCTCCTTTGCCCCACAGCCAGGTACACACACACTTTCGATTGTTGTCATCAATGACCAATCTAGGGGATGTTTGTTTTTGGAGTTTAATTGTAGAACTGGATATAGGGATGGGGAATTCAGTAGGATACTCCAAAGTTAGAACTGTTCACACTGAGGACATCTAGCTGATCTTTAGTTAACCACTGTTGGAAGTCCTGGCTGTAAGCAGATAACAGACTCCTTTTTACTTTGTAGCAGCAAGTAGTTTAGAAGTGAGCACAGTCCCTTTTTTGCAGCAGTAGTAGTTACAGGGCTGAGCTCCTCACGTACAAGTCAGTTATGACAGACTGCGAAAGCCCAAAGGTAACGTAGCTGACAGGGGTGGACTGACCATTTGGAAACTTGGGCACTGCCGAGGGCCTGGGGTCAGTAGGGGGCCCCATGAGATGCCCCTGGTACCTTTTTCATAGGCTTTTTTGAGTTTGGGCAAGGACACAGGGGCCCCATGATCCCCTATTGCCCGGGGGCCCCATTAGTTGTCAGTCCGCCCCTGGTAGCTGAGCAAAGTCCTTTGCAGTAGCAACAATTGCACAAGCTCTTCAGAACACTAGCCAGTGTTCTCTTTCCAGTGTTCTCTGCTGCCTATCAAGCACCAGGGGAGGTAGCAAGCACACAGAGTCCCCAAATTCCTCAATGTCTGTACTCGCAAGGCCCAAGGACAGAATGGTTGCCTCCCTCCAATCTTCCAAGTGAATCAATCCACTAGATACTAGACAAAGCTTTGGCAGACAGCTCCCCTCAGTCAGCTTACTGTAGAACCCAGGTCACTCTCTCTAGCTTCAGACCTAAGGCCACATGGCAGCATGTGCCAGGCGAGGCAAGCCTGCCTCTAGCCTGGATTGGTTGAATCCCCTCCCAAGAAAGACGCTGAATCCATGTGCTCACCTGAATATATATACCACTCCCAGCATGCAATGGGACTGCCCTCCCTTGCAATTGGCCAGGGCCGTATCCATATCCATGCTGCTCATTTTCCTAACTCCCTCCCAGGTTGTCACGTACCTGATAGGAGTATGAATTGACGAGGTCAGCTCTCTTGTATCTCCAACCCAGGCCACACTGAAGGTGGAAAAGATGGTGCTGAGGGACAGGAGAAACCCACGAGTGCCTGCGGATGTTGATTGCAGAACTTTTGGCTGGAGGTGTAGCCTCAATAAATCAAGCAGGGCATCCAGTCAGGAACAGAGGAGATGCCGGAACGACCAGCTGAGGTTAAGGAAGCACTCCACTGGAACTAAAATATCTGGGTATGTGGCTTGCCAGAACATCTAATAAGCGTGAGGCCGGAACACACCTTGACAACCAGAGCTGATATAATAGATAGCCAGGATAAGCACTCGGCAGGACTGTAGAGCCAAACTGGAGCCGGAAGCATAGTCAGAGTAATAGCCAGGGTCTGCAACGAACAGGCAATGAGGTACCGGAGCATCAGACAGGGACGAGGTCAGAAGGAAGCCAGGATCAGAAACCGATGAGCAGCATAAGCAGAATCCAAGAGCAGGTCAATATAATGGATAACACGCTGGACACAGGGAATAAGCTGAAGACCAGTCAGCACTTACAGACAGTAAGAGCCTCCTTTAAATAGTCCGTCTGGGGCCAGAAACTGTGGACACGTTCCCGTGTGCGTGCACCCATGTGCGCGCATTCTTTCGTGCATGCGTGAGCCTATGCTCATCTTTATTGCAATGCGCCTGTGCTCATTTCTATGCGTGATGTTGTGCGCATGTGCACTTCTATGCGCCAGTCACGGTACAGGAATTCCCTTACACAGATCCTGGAAGGCTGTCATAGCTTCCTGAAGACGGGCAGAACTCAAGGCAAACTGTTAAGCAGAGAAACACGGCTATGCTTAACCTAACTATACAAATCCTAGCACCTACCTAGGAGGGTGCTACAGAGGGAGTTCCTTTATTAACCACTTTAGCTCTGGAAGGTTTTAGCCCCTTCATGACCAGGGCATTTTTTGCTATTTTGCACTGCACTACTTTACCTGCAATTGAATGGTCATGCACCACTGAACGCAAATGAAATTTATATTTTATATAATTTTTTTCACACAAATAGAACTTTTTTTCGGTGGTATTTGATCACCACAGTTTTTTTTTATTTTTTATGATATAAACGTATATGACTGAAAAGTTTGAAAACAAACAAACAATATTTACTGCTTTCTGTTACATATCAAATAAAAAAATAAAAAATAAAATTTAGGCCAAAATGTATTCTGCTCCATTTTTTTTCTTTTTTTAAACTTTAAAAAACATTTTTCTACTATTTTATTTACATACTTCCATGTCACAGTAGTTCAGTGTCACCATAGTGACATTTTACTACTCTGGAGGGGGATCAGGGTTTTTTTTTTTTACACTTTGATTTGCTGTAATGATGATCACTCTTAGCAGCAAGGTTTTGCACTGTCATGAATGGGTTACATTCATGATAGCTGTGATTACTAGTGATCTGTGATTGGCTACAGCTAATGACAAGGTACAGGGTGCTGTGATTAGCCTGTGTACTATGTGATAGCTGTGGACCAATCACAGCATCACTATAGGAATTACATTTATTCATAACAGCTTTGTTGACATTGTGAATAGCGATCACATGATTCTCCAGCTGATCAAATCAGCTGGGTACCAGAAGCCACAACTTGCTGTGTCCTGTGGACACAGCAGTTGCGGTAGCAGCTAGCCCCCGGCGGGTGCACTAGTGCACATGTGCTGAGCGGCATACAGGTACATCACTGTAGCTGCCACCAGCCTGCAGTAAATATACTGCAGGCGGCCAGCAACTGGTTAAAGTTAAAACATCATTATATGGACAGTTTTTTGTAGCAATATTGTATGTAAAAAATGTATAATGTTTGGGGTTGTAGGTAATTTTCTAGCTATCTAGAGTAATATAGGGACTGGGGAGGTTATCAGAAAGGTGTATTAGCAAGCGCAAGGGAAAGCGAGGGCATCAGTGTTCAGGCCTGTTTCAAAGATTTGACTAAGGTTCTCTAATGTTTTCTAGGACATGAAAGCTCAGGGTTTTCACACTTTCACACATACAGACCATTCAATGGATGGATGAAAAACAGACATCAGTTAATCTTTATGTAAAAATGGATGTAAATGGATGATCATCCATTTACATTACACAAAAATCTAATATTTGCACTATCCTCCACACCATAAACCTATTACTAAAACTCAAATAACTGCAAAGTGTAAAATTCCAAACATAAAGTCCAATCTCCAAAAAATATATAGTCACCCCTTATGACTAAGTCCCGGATGTGACGAAACGCGTCAAGGGAAGTGACGTCGGATGTACAGGAGATGAACTGGAAGTGGCGCGTTGGCCATTTTGGAAGCTGGAAAACCGCACATCAAACACACTGGAAGCTGCTTGGCAACCCTGAGAGGCTTGAAGGGCATAGGAATATGTGCTTTATTCATTTTTTACACTGTAAGCAGTTAAAATATAGTTTACAATTTTATATTTTCACAAAATGGAATTACACTATATTCTATTCATACATTTATTGCATGAGCACTCTGGAGTCCTAGAAAATGTCATCTTAAACCATGAGGATTTCAAGGGTTAAAGTTTTTTTTCTAGTATGTGAAAGGGTATTTTGGTTAGTTTAGTGGTAGGTGATACCGTATTTATATTCACATCCATTTACATTCACATCACTCAACATCCTTTTTTTTCAGTGGATCAAAGCCCTTTTTTTGTTCTGTTGAAAAAATGGAACGTATGAAAAACGGAAGTAAATGGACAAATGATCCATTTTTTCATCCGTTTTTGCATTGGTAGTGGATGTAAACTTCATCTGTTTTTTTTCTTTGAAAAAACGTGACTAAGCTGGTGTATATGAATGGCCCATACCTGGGAAAGGGACCTTTGTCTAATGCCCCATGTACACATTTAGAATATCGGACAAATGATCGTCTTTTTTTTTTTTCTGCATGCTAGTCTTATATAAAAAGTGAAGAGGTTCCTAAAGTTACGATAATTCATAAAATATCTGAAGAATGTAATGCATTTGTATTGTATTTTCGGACGACTACTGTAATGGGTAAATGAAAATCATACAATCCGGTTTCGTACATTAAAAATTTTTGTGCTTTTCCCTTCTATTTTTTTTCAGATAATTGCTGTGTACTAACGATCAGATTATTGTACGGTCGCTTTAAAAGTGGCATTTTTTATACAATATTCTGATCGTGTATACAGGGTTTAATGCTAGAGCGCCACAGGTAGGGTTTCCACCTCATCCCTTTAAAACTGAACACATATTAATTACTCAGGTTCTGAGGCTAACTTAATGCAGATAAGGCACTAGGTGAGTTTAATTACCACCTTAATCAGCCACAGAACCTGTGTAATTAATGTGTTCAGTGTTAAAGGGATGAGGTGGGAACCCTAGCCACAGGGCGTTGTGAGTTTACCAATGTAAAGGCGACATTGAAATGTGAATAGATGGGGAGGAAAAACCCATCACACCTGGCTGAGCTGCCCATTGTTGAGGGATCAAAGGGTAAGCTGTGGCCTAATATTGACCTGGGTCAAGGAGTTTGCCTGCAGTGTGAAAATGCCATCTGCTGGACGATGTCGATGAGCACGTCAGAATCCTATGAAAATTCCAGATATGACAGAAGACTTTCAAGGGAATAGTGAGGGATGTATATGTGGTTGTGGTTGATGTTTCATGTGTTTGTGTGCTATAAAATGCAGAGTCAGGCCATTTTTTTTTTTTTTTGTCCATGGAGCCCGGCCATGATACCAAGCTTGGGGAGGGACTTGTATCTCTAATCTTTTATTCCTATATTTATTTATTTATTTCAGGTACTTATATAGCGCCATCAATTTTACGCAGCGCTTTACATATATATTGTACATTCACATCAGTCCCTAACCCTCAAGGGGCGTACCATCTAAGGTACTCTGTAATATATATATATATATATATATATATATATATATATATATATATATTAGTGATTTACTTTCTCTGTAAATAAATAAGACTTTTGCCTCTTTGAGCTTTGTACATATTATAACATATATTCTTTTTATCACTAATACTATTACCAGAGCCCTGGCAGAGTGGCATATTACAGGAAACAGATAAAAAATAAAAAATATTTAATCTAGGGAAAACATTTTAGACATGTTGAAAATGTTTCTGATGTTCTGTGGCTGCAGCTGCTGATCAGCATATTCTGATAGTGGCTGGTACAAAATACAATGTCCTGGCAGGGGGAATTCTTCCATCCACCCCTTTTGTGTCATCATGTTATTGTTTTTTTCTTATTTTTTTTAGACCACTGGCTGAATGAAAAAAAAACGACGTGTATGGCATGCCTAAGTGGCAGGTGTGCTGGACAATAGCTGGGGGACAGGTTACTTCAGTAATATGAATGAAGGAGATGACCACCTCTGGTGATTATAAGCTGCAAGGAGGTATAGAAAAAGCAGTAGTGGAGCATCAGGGACCAGCCAAATTTTGTTCAATGTGTGGGCTCCTCCCACTTGGCAAAAGTTGATTGTTAAATCGACTTCTGCCGACCTTGCTGAACTGAAAAAGACTTTGTGAGTGAAAGAAATGGAGTGAATGTGAAATTAACTTCCTTCTCCCCCTTCAGCAGGTGTGGGGGCAGGGGAGAAACCTTAATTATGAAGAAAGTTTAAGAGCAGGTCCAGTGGGCTTAGACTTGGTTCTGCCATGAGCTGAAGGTTCAGCAGCCAATGATGTTGGCTTGAGGGGGCATATCAGTCTTATCTATACAGTAGAGGGGACCCATTCACTAGGGAAGGATGATTGAGGATAGTGGGGTACGATCCCCCTTCCCTAAAGAATGGCTCAAGGGAATTTCTCAAGAGTAGCTCACCTTTGAAGGGCAAGTGCAGAAAGCACCTTTCATGATAGTAGTTCGTCAGCCAAGCTTTTAGTCATAAAATCCGACGCATATGTACAGAAATAAGGACATTCTGGAGATTTCACAAATCACATTCTCCATGGCCAGGGGCGGACTGACAACTCATGGGGCCCCCGGGCAATAGGGGATCATGGGGCCCCTGTGTCCTCACCCACACTCAAACCACACCCAAAAAAGCCTATGAAAGGTACCAAGGAGCATCTCGTGGGGCCCCCTACTGACCCCTACTGGCAGTGCCCAAGTTCCCAAATGGTCAGTCCGCCCCTGTCCATGGCGTTGATGCAGAACAGCAGTGCAAAGGACAAGATTTCAAATCTTGCAGCAAGACTGGGATCATCAATATAGAGATAAAGTTCACTGTTGATTTTGCCAATTCACTGTACCATAGTTTAGGCAATTGACAAGGCAACAATGGCTGGTGTGGGATTGGGGTGATTAAAATCAAGCAGTAGGTGTGTTTACAATGAGTTGCGCCAGTCCAAAACTGTATTTTAGGGCATGGCAGCCCACTTTTATTAGAATAAATGGAAAGTTCACATATACATCAGTTGCCCACACAGGGCTTTCTTCCACACATTATTTCACAAACAAAAATACGGAGCCACCCGGCTCCATTGTTGGCAGCACTGCTGCTTCTCTCATTAGTCCCTTTGACTGAGTTATCCAGCTCTCCCTGATGCTTGGCTCTTTAGCCTTTAGTTGCAGTGCCTTGCTGCATAGCCCACCTCTGGCCTATGGATTGGGGTTCTCCTGACACCCCGATAACTCCTGAAGCTGATACCTGCTGTCTCTTGGCTTCTGGCTGGGGCACCACTGATCCGTGGCTGAGACCCTCTGTTTCCTGAGACCTTCCATCTCCCACACTAGGAGTGGTCTCCAAACTGGCCACAGCCCTGAGCTATCCTCAGACCTGTGCATATAATGACCCTGCACACCTGTACACTCAGACAGGTTGCAGACATCTGGCAAAACCTGGACACAGGATTGAAAGTTCAATCCAGAATCCCAGAATCCAGAGAAAGCCAAAAACACAGCTTTCTCTGCTCAGATACAGCAATCTGGAACTTCGCATTAATCCTACATGTGAATCCTGTGTTGCATTTTCCTATATTCTCCCAGTGACATAGCCTCCCTCTGTCATACTGGTTACATGGAAGGACCTGCCACAGAAAAGGAGGGCTTTAAAAGAGTCTCCAAAGCCTATCAACTGAATCTTAATGGAGTTTAGCCATACATTATATATGGACCATCTGCCTGTCTGATATGAAGGAATCGCAATATCCAGGCACCAGCCAAGATCCTGAAGTTCCCATCCTCACAATCCAACCCATATTAGGGCTCATTCACACTTGGCTTTTATTTCTAACTCTTGTCAAATGCGCCTATAGCGTTTGACAGGCGTTTGTGAAGCGTTTTTAAGGCTCCTCAAACGCTCCGCAAACGCCCCATGCGTGGTTTTGAGGCGCTTGATAGGCATTTGCCAAGCGTTAAAACCGCACCACAAATGCCTATAATGAAGTTAAATGGTCTTAACGCTCCACAAACGCCTTGCAACCACGTTGCAAACACACCGCAAACGCCTTCCAGGTGTTTGCAAAGCGGCACCATAGACTTGAATGGGAGGCTTCAACACTTCCTGACTCGACACGAGGCCTCCGTTTTGCTGTGACACAACTCAACGTGACGCTAACGCATCAGTGTGAACAGCACTGCGTGCTGCCATGTGCAGAATTTTCATAGGCATTTAAGAAGTGATAAAACGCTTCCCAAACGCTTGTCTGATGCCTGCTGACAAAGCCAGTGTGAACTAAGCCTTAATGAGTCAATTGCCTTGGCAATATTAAAATGTATTTGATCCTGCCAATATAGCTCATTTGAATTTAAGAGAGTGCCAGAGAAGGTGAGAGGGAAGGAGAAAGAAAGTGAGAAGAGAGAGAGAGTGTGAAAGAAGGGAGAGAGAAAATAAGAAGAGATAAAAAGAGATGATCTTTTACCCCTAAGGGTACACTGCAGCTGATAAACTCACATTCAGGAGATTTTCTGTGTTTTTTTTCAGCAGCCCCTGAACTCTCCCTAATGTTTTCCTATGTGTCCATGTACACTATGTCGTTTACAGGCAGTTGAGTTTACAGTCGTTTTTTTTTAATGCACCAAACTTGCGTTCAGGAGTAGATTTTACCGGCGTTGCAAACGCCAAACACTTGTAAACGCGTGTAAAATGTGGCTAACCGCACTTATAAGCGTTTGCGTTTAGAAGCGTTTTTTAACTGTTCCATATCCAGAGGCTTTTTTCCTCATCAGAAATGCATGCAAAGCGTTTTCCATGTATTCAAATGCACCTAGCACACCATTGCAGTCAGTTCCAGGTTTTGTGTGAAGGAACAAATGGTAGAACGTGCTGCATTATGCTCATTATGGGATCCATAGTGAATACAACCAGAAAAGATAGGGCATCTCAACACATACTGCTCTCTCTGCTTCTGCTCTCTCTATTTCTCTCAAAAATTTTTTTTTACTGTTTTTCAGTGCATTCTGGGCATTTTTTAAGGTCTCCGGAGGTTATCTTAAAAAAACACTTCTAAACGCAAACTCTCATAAATGGGCATAAACGCGGTATGCAAATGCAGCTAAACAGATGTTTTTTAAGCTACATTTTCCAGCAGTCAGTTTTCCATCGTTCAGAAGTGTTTTACGACTGCCCCATGTACATGGAGCCTAATAATTTTCTAGGACTTATTCCTTCCACCCTCCCTTCCTAATCCAATGCAAAAAAACAGAGAAGAGGGAGAGAGAGAGAAGGAGATAGGGACAAAGAGATGAGGAGAGAGAATACAAGGAGGAGAGAGATAAGCAGTGGGGTGAGAGAGAGAATGGAGAGGGAGAGTAAGGGAGAGAGGAGAAAGTAGGAAACGAGAAAGGAGAACGAGAGAAGAAAGTGATTCGCTTCCCAGTGTCAGAATTGCGCAATGGTAGTAAATAGATTTTTCAGTGCCAGCGATAGGCAGTTTTTGTTACTCTGTCCCTCCCCCTGAACATGTGAAATAGAGGCTGTCCTGTGTGCATTGGCAATGTTACAGATTTTCAGTTTCCATTCTCAGACGTGATGTGGATGCTCCACCCACTGCTGTTCTCTGTCCTAACTTGTAAAACTTACAAAGATACAAGCAAGGAACGACCAGCAGACATCCGGCCATATCAGGGGCCCCAGATATCAGTCTGTATTGGGTCCCTGGCACCATGTCGGACCCCGCAGTCACCGCCTATCTGACCAGGCTGCTTTGCTCACATGGCGGCCGACTAGAGAGAAATCATTTGGCCAATCAACTGGATCTCCCAGCAGAGCAAATTGAGCAGATCCTGCAAAGAAGAGCCACTCAGTTCCCACAGACTTCCCAGCTGGTACTGGCCCGGAGCCCCCTGAGGATATGCACCAACTATCTACACCCAAAAGGGGAGGAAGAGGAGGAGAAATGCCCTAAACTGCACCTTTGCCGTGACTACCTGAGGGGCCAGTGTCTTCCAAACCGGAGGTAGGTGCAGGAGCAACAGAAAGGTGTCAGAGGTGTTGGGGCAAGAAGGAAGGTGATCTTAAAGTGGAGCTGCACTGCATCTGAGCTGCATGAACCAAATATGCTATTTAATTCATTTTTAATATCCAAAGCAAACTTCCCCATCCATGTCTGCTCACTTTACTTTGCTGATAAATCATTTTGAAATGTCCCCCCTGGCATTTCTAGCAGTGGCCATCTTGAGTAAGAGCAGAATATTCATGTATCATTGTAAACATTCATTCCAAATTCATCATTCGGCATGTATATTATATTGATAGCAAGCTTGCAAAATATTGGGTTTTTATGATTAATCATAATTAATATTAAAATGTGTGATCGGCCTTGAACAAGTGATAGTGTTAAATTCTTCAGTTATAGCTGAGACAGAAAAATATATTTGGAATTAGCTAAGTAACTATAGAAGGGCATAGCTGGTTAAAGGGCTCCAGTGTAGAATGTCATGGGAGTCAGGAGTGAAGCAAAATAGAACTAGTATGAAATAATATATATTCTAATAGTATCTGTGTGTATTTAATTTATGTTTTATAAAGTTGGTAATATGTGTTACATAAGTAGATTTTTGGTTATACAACATTATTGAGATATTATGTTGTAAAAATAGATTCTTAGTTTATACTATCATTTAAACAGAGAAACTTGCTATAATGATCAGGCTGAGGCAACATTGCCAGCTTAGGGAGCCAATACATATGGGCTTGTCAATCAAAAGGTCATATATGTAGTGTCCCCTCCCTTCAGTTAAAGTGCTCTGCTAAGCCATATTGTTTGTCATACAAGGTTCTAAGATCACGAATTATGACGTATGCAAGCATCATAAAAAAATTATTCCAAAATCACCTATAGACACTAAAGAATTGTTACGGTCTCAGAAAAGTCTACAATCATTTACTTACTGAAATCCATCTGCTCTTATCTCAAGCAAAGGCTGAGCTGAGAACCCTCCCCTCCTGAAGACTGCTGGGATGCATGACATTATTTGCCTAGGTATGGAAACAAGGAAGTAACTGAAGAAATGTCAAAAAAATGTTTAAAACAAGTAAATATGATATACTTTCCTATATATTTACTAATGCTAACAGCATAAGGATTATAAATAGTCCATGGTGATTGAGAGAGTGTATAGTATAGCTCTAAGGTTATTGGGGTATGGACAGTGAGAATGCAGGAGTATCTAGGTAAGAAGAGGGATACTAAGTGATTCTAGGTAGTCTGATTCGAGGTACTGGGGTGAATCTGGAAGTATAGGTTTAAAGTTAAAGCGGAGTTCCACTCACGCTGTAAAAAAATAAAAGTCAGCAGCTACAAAAACTGTAGCTGCTGACTTTTAAATAACAGCCACTTACCTATCCCTCGGACTCGTGGTGTGTCCCCCGCAGCCCGTTTCACTGGCCGTCCTGTATTCCAAGAGGCCGGCATCTTCAGTGTGGGTCCCAGGCTGTGACAACTTGCGGCTTCACAGCCGGGTACCCACTGCACATGCATGAGTAGCGCTGCGCTTCATGAATGGTCCTGTAGTCTTCTGGGACCTGTCACATTTCCCAAAAGACTACAGGGAGGGATGGAGGGAGGACACCTTCCGTTTCCGATTGCCTAGGCGATCGGACCGGAAGTAGGAGCGGGTACCTGTCAAATTTGGGTACCCGCTCCCCCCGCTCCCACCCCCCCAAATTTGCCAACCCTTAATGGGGAGTGGGG